ATGTCAACGCACGTTAATAAAATTTGTAATTCCGCGTTTTATCACCTACATAATATTAGGAGGATTAAGAATTATTTATCTCGCGATTCGTTATTAACGCTTATTCATGCTTTTATCACTAGTCGTTTAGACTATTGTAATGGACTTTTGTATGGCCTTCCTAAGTCGCAAATAGCCAAATTGCAACGTGTGCAGAATGCTGCGGCTAGACTTGTACTGAGTTTAAGTAAGTATTCGCATATTTCTCCTGCGCTTTGTCAACTTCACTGGTTACCAGTACAACATCGTGTTCATTTTAAGATCATAATTTTAACATTTAAAGCTATTCATGGATGGGCGCCTAGGTATATCATTGAACTAATTAACATCAAGCCTAGGTCTGTATATAATCTTAGATCAAATCAAAGTTTATTACTTGACCCTCCTAAGGGGAAAATGCTTGCCACGTTGGGGGACAGATCATTCTCTGCTGCTGCCCCGTACTTATGGAATGCTCTGCCAGCTGAATTACGTGATATTCAATCATTTTCCATTTTTAAATGTAAGCTGAAAACTTATTTATTTCATGCAGCTTTCTCAAAGTACCCTGTCTGACAATTACTTTTATTAGTATTACTAAATAAAGTTCCTTATTAAGATCCTTATTCCTAATTAAGATCCTTATTATGGATATTCCATATTATTCTGACTTATTTTTAACATACATTGTTAATATTAAAGTACATGTAATTAGTTTTATAAATTTGAATTTACTATAGTATTCTAAGTTGTTAAGCGCTGTTGATCATTGAATGAAAATAGCTCTCTAGAAGTTATTAAATTAAATTAAATTAATATTATCCTACTGGTTTTAAGTGAGTTGTTGTCAGGGCTCAACACTAACAGTAGCCAACTAGTCACAGACTGGTAGAAATTCAGTTTTAGCTAGTGGTTTTCGATTTCCACAAGCCAGTTTTGTTAGTAAACAAACTGAAATTGTCATAACATCTAAGATGTCACTAGTATATAGCCCCTTAGCTAGTAAGTTGAAAAGTTAGTGTCAAGGCTCGGTTGTTAGACAGTAACATACCTGAAAGTTACTCCGTGCTTGTTGCAAGTGTAATGGGGTATTGAAATGTTGCTGCTCAATCTCTACTCTTAATTAAGGTGACAAGATTCAATGCTAGAAGGGTAGTAAGACATGTACATTTAAAATCAGGCACAATGATGATCATGTTTTTCCAAATGATAGTGGGTTTTTGTGGGAAACTGACAGTGATGGGGTTTAAAAAACTGAAGGAGGATACAGACCAAATCAGAAAATGAACTATACATGAACCCAAGCTCATATTACCCAAAAATTACTACATTTTGAACATTTCTCTCTTTAATTGTGAAAATTAAATACAGCTACATGGCTGTCCACAACTGTTATGGCAAAATGAATTCAATACAAAAAATACAAATTATTTCCTGTGAAATACAAACATTATTGCCAAAAGCAAAATCAATCATGACCATTTTCAAATTCATCATTCAAATACAAATTGTCCATTGAAAGACCAAATTTCTTCATGGTTTAATCAGATTGCTTACCACTAAAACCAAAATAGTGGTCAATGATGTTTTTTTTTTGTTCACAGTCATCCAAGTACAAAGAGTGATGTAAGTGCACTCAAAGATCACTAGAAGTATGAAACAATAAAACAACAACTTAAACGCCATTTTTAGCTGCGGCTGTAAGTTTGTGAAAAGGTTTTTCTGATTTACTTAAAAGAATATTTCCAAGGGATGTTCCAGCATATTCAAAAGAGTCCTAATGTTTATTGAAACTGTTAATTTGAATCATGTGCTCAGAGGCAAACCTACAATTATTTCATGAGCACATGTTGGATATGAATTGGCTATAACCCATCTCATATCCAACAAACTCAACAGAACAGTTGTTTTTATTCTAATATTTCACTCGATCCTGAATGTTTAGATGTTTGGAGCCTTTTGTCAGCTCTGCAAAAGTTGGCACAATGCATTTGATTGTTCAGTGACAAGAAAAGGAAACTGTTTATGAAAGAAACAGTTTTGCTCTGGAGAGTGACTGGGTCTTTAGTACTGGCTTAAGATCTCTGATATACAAGGCAGTCACGCTTACTGCTGCATTTCTTTAAGATGGTACAATAGACCACTTTCATAAATGAATAAAGGCCAATAGTTTCGAAAAGAAACTGTTTGGGGGCTGCGTCGGTGGGGGTAACGAAATATTTTGGATATGTCAACCAAATCACTTTCATAAATGGCTGCCGGATTAATATTCTTTTGTTTAAATTTAAATTTACCTGGGTGGCCTCGCTTGAGATAATGTATTCTTTTGAATTTGTACTGGAGAACAAGGTCACCTAGGTAAATTTAAATTTAAACAAAAGAATATTAATCCAGCCGCCATTTATGAAAGTGGTCTTTGGTCTTCGAGGTTCCTTGTCTCCATATAGGTGGTTTGCACGTCCTCGCTACCATAGATATCTCATTAGCTTCTTTTGTTCATCCACCAGCATTTATTCCTTTCACCACTGTTACCTGTGTCTCTAGAGATTGGTTGCAAACCACCTATTCTGTTCATTAAGTATTTTGCCACCTCGTTAATAATGCAAAAACCAAGCGGCACATTTACTTGATTTTGACATCTTTTGCTAATTTTTGTGTTGCATATATTCCCTCGAGCCTTACTTATTTCATATTTTCCCGTTGAATTCGCGAAAACCCCACGATATGCTGTCTAGCCAAAATCGCGGAATTAACTACGAATATGGCAACATTCAATTGAAAACAACACCAAGTGATGAAGAATAAAAAGTGAAAAATAAAAATGGCAAAGATGAAATTGAGTCATAACTTTCGATAGATTTCAGAAATATAAAACAATTTAAATGCTCAGAAGCCCTTCCGAATTTAAACTAATCCGCCACTCTGAAGAGGGTAGCAAAAGTTTCGCGCACGATAGAACCATCCACGTGTACGCGTCACGTAAAAATATTTTACACGTCTCGAGTAAAGATCTTACCTTTCTGTAAAATTAACACATCACGTATTAATTTTAGACTTGATCACACATCCCTTTAAACCCTTTGGCAACTACAGGACCAGTGAGAATGCTTTAACTCCATGTGACATTGCACAATATTTTACAGTCCGTACGTAAGATGTGACAACAGTTCGAATAATTTCGCAACTGTCCAAAAGTCGTCGCTTAGGCAGGCTTACCTCGGCGTCTCTGGTTGACAAAAAAAAGAAGTATCGTTTGGCTGAGTTACAGTACTAACCACCTCTATCGGGCGTTTTCTTGACATGTACGAGGCGTTGACTTTTTTGTACAAAAATTAGATCCTAAAGTATGCGTCGTTTACAGGAAGCTTCGAAGCTGAAATTTAAAGTGACTGTAAAGTTTACTTCATTAAAAAAAATTCTGTTTGAAGTTAATACTTAAGCGAAAAGTACATTTACCATCAACGATGAATAGAAGACATTCTCCTCGATTTAATTTCCTTCAGAAAAGTTTAGTAATGAGCTTCTCACCGAACCCCTCACACTCACGAGTGACGCCAGTACAGCGGTTAAATTTGAAATACGTCGTGTAAGCTGTAGCACGTGTTCGTCACTAAAAGTTCAAACCCGAAGTGTATAAAATCGTACTGAACAAAGCCGGATGAACATATACAAAAACGAATGAAAATGTTTTAAGTATGTTTGAGCTTTTTACAAGGTTATCAATGCGCCAATAAACCTAACAGTAAAGTTTGAATTTTGGACTGTAACTTCGACTCTTAAGCGTAAATTTTGAGGGAGATTCTCCGGCCTTGCAGCGTTGAGTCAATTTTTCACTTACGTAACGCGAAAAACTTGTCGACACTTTAGCGTCAAATAATTCATGAAATAACGGGAATTTCAGGAATTGTACACAGCCTAGCTTAGTCTTAACCCAGTCCCACACTGGGAAGAATATTCTCCACCATCAATTTACGTCACTAATCCACAGCAATGTTGTGAAACTAACAAGGGCAGAAAAAGTAGCTGGAGAGAGTCTGAGAAGTCCACTTTGATGCAACTTGCGTGGAAGTACTGGCCACAACTGTCGCATTCCAGCCGATCTTCTCCATCGTCGTCATGGCACACTATGCAGACGTTGATATTTCTCCTACAGCGGACGGAACAAGTATTTCATTATCATTCACTTAAGTATGTCTTCTTTCTTATTGGGTCAGGTCTCATACTTTGACTCTTAACTCTATATCAGGATCAAACCCAATGCTTGGCAAGATTAAAGGATATGCAGTTTGGAAACAAGCTGTGACTTAGGTTACTTACTCGTGGATC